CCCCAAAGGCCCTGTTTTCACATGCGGTCACATTGGGGGTTCGGACTTCAACACAGAAATTTTGAGGGACACAATTCTATCCATAACTCTATAGCTCCCTTTCCTTTACTTTCATAGGAAGATCAAGTATATAATTAACACTCTTTGACACTTGTGAAATGAATAAGTAAATGCCCACTGATATAAAGCCATGAAGTATTATTATTCACTAACTATTTTCCTTTCACAATAACCTGCTCTTACCTGAAATACAAAGGGTAGACACTATGGATAGTCGTGGCTGTCCATACAACTTCTGCAACATTCTGAGCAATTGGATTTTCATAGCCAGGACTGATGACCAGTCCTGTAAAGGACGCTAATTGTATCTAAAGCTAATATATGCTCATGTTATTTTGGAAAAGAAAAAATTATGTTACAGTAATATTCATCCAGTCTCAGGATCTCGTAAAGAATTTTCCATCACCAGCCACCATCACATCTTTAGAGATATGTCTTGCCGTCATCAAGGCTGCTTCTCAGAACTGACTGAAAAAACTGATAGAGAAAAATGGCTGTGCTTGGCAATAAAACCTCGACATCCTTGGTAATTAAAGGATAATGCTGTGTATGTGTGTGTGTGTATGTGTGTGTGTGTGTACATACACGTGTGTTTTCTTGTGAAGATACGTGAAATGGAATTAGTTTCTCTCTGGGTTGGATTTATTAAGAGGCATTGGGTCACTGAGCAGAACTCATAGGTTCTTCTGGTTGGTGATAGTAAATGTCAGGCCCAACTGGATCTGCCTTAACTATGGCTAGACGATTGTTCATTTCAAGATTTCATAAGTTCAGAAATAAGTGTGAAAATATATAAGCCCTCTTTATAAAATGCACTGCCTAAAATTTGGTAATAATTTATTTAAATACAAAATCTGGAAATATATGGATGTGATTAATCAGGAGGAACTATGGAATATAGTGTTTCCAGGCTGGATCCGCTTGAGATCATCAGACTGTGTATTTCTGTTGCCTGTATTATTTCAGCTTGTTTTTCCCAGTTAGCATACTAATTGCAATGGTGCGCCAATTATTTCCTTCTTCATTGAAATGTCGGTTCAGACACTCTTTTGCCTCCACAGGCTAAGGACGGATTTGAAGATCATCCCTAAATCAGCCAGGCTGAGAGAGCAGTAGATTGAGAGTGGGGGCAGGTAGGGTGGGAGGGCTGAGGGGATGGGGGCTGGGGGGAATTTCCTTTCTTGATTCAGACAGAAGGGGTGAATCCATGAGACTGTGGACCTTCAGCCACTTGGTGGCGCTGTGGACCCACAGTACTTACTGCAAGGTCCCCTGGGATGGTTAGAGTGGCCCAGGAGAGGACAATTAAGGGAATTCTGGTACATGCCTGCCTCAAGGAGGGGGTTTGAGTTCACTGAGTTCACTGGTCCTGGGGCATGTGGAGCTAACAGGCTCTCACTGCCCAGGGAAGTGGAGACCCGCCTTGAACCTCAGTGGGCGCCAAGGAGACCTTCTCCTGAGCCTCCACAGGAAGTGGAGGGTGAAGGAGCGGCGGCAGTAAGGGTTGGGTAATCGGTGTCAGGTAGGGGCAGGCAGAGGGACATGAGGTATGTTGTGGGTTATGGGGATGGTGCTCAATTCACACCCACCCTTTGTTGAGGGGCTGTGCAGGACAGGAATGGCGCCTAGAGTGGCCAACCCTGGATTCTGCCAAAGGAGACTGTGGGCTGGAGGCGTCTGCAGAGAAAGTAACAACAGAGCAGTGACGTCATAGGCAAATGCTCCTATCAGGGAAACGGGAGGTTCAGAACGTTAGAACACTAACCGCAGGAGACCCTGCCCCTGAGCTAGGAGATGTCTTGGGTTCCTGATGCTGCCATGGGCTCCAGGCTCCTCTGCTGTGTGGCTTTTTGTCCCCTGGGAGCAGGTAAGTCCTGAACACGGTGTGAAAGCCTCTCCTTTGCCTTTGCCATGCCTGAAATACGAGCCTGCCAGTGATGGCTGCAGCAGGAGGCTTCCCCTGTGCTCTGCCCCCAGCTGCTTTCTGTCTCCTCCACAACACGCCCAGCAGATTCTGGAGTCAGTCAAACCCCAAGATACCTGAAGAAAGCAAAAGGACCTCAGGTGACACTGAGATGTTCCCCTATCTCTACACATGTCTAGGTGTTCTTGTACCAACAGGCCCCGGGCCAGGGCCCTCAGTTCCTCGTTCAGTATTATGATAGTGAAGAGAGAGAAAAAGGAGACATCCTGGATCGACTCTCAGGGCAACAGTTCCATGACCAAAGCTCTGATCTGACATGAATATCTTGGAACTGACAGACTTGGCCCTGTATCTCTGTGCCAGCAGCTTGGCACAGCCCTTCATGATCAGCAGCCTCCAGCACAAAAACATTCCTGCCCCAGCTCAGGAAGTGATCATGAGGGTGGCAGCTGCCAGCCAGACAGGCTCAGGCGTTCAGGTATCAGACAGGCCTTTCCCAGACACTCTTCGTGATGCTTCTATATGTGATGTGTTTTATGCTCACAGAAATCATGCAAAATAAGTATTATTTACCTGTTTATATATGTGAGGGGAAGGAATTTTCCCGGGTCTCACATTTCATAACTGGCAGAACAAGGAATCAAACTAAAGTCTGTTCCTCAAACCCTGTGGTTCCCCCACCCTAGAACTGTCCCCTCATCTTGTTTCCTTCTTCTAGGTCCAGCTTAGCAGAACAGGGAAGGTCATGCATCATATGTCATTATCCTAATCTCTTTCCTGAGAACTTCAAAGAATATATGACTTCAAGACAAAGAAATGGATCTTTCATTGTGACAAAAATGGAAGACACAATTTTCTGCATTGTAGCTGCTGCATGGACTCAGGTTGTGTGTTATCTTTCGTGGAGGCTGTGTGAGTAGGGAGGTTTCTGGATCTGCCTTCCCAGCTGCTCAGCAAAGGGAATGGGATACTTGCAAGGAAAAGTGTATCTTTCTGTGCATGATACGATTACCATGGGGGAAAAGAACATAAATAATCATTATTTATTTCTTAGTTTCTTTTACTCAACAATTATTTTTGGTCTCTTACTTTGTACAAGGGATCGTATCACATAAAATAGAAAATGAACATATGTTTCCTACCTTTGAGAGTTTTAAGGTCTGCATTATTACATGTATAATATTTACCTTAAACATTTGACGGTTTCTATGGAAACCACCTGT